GGAGACAGAGAAACTTTTAACAGAACAATGAAAGCGTTAGGGTTTAACGCAGAGTCTCAAGGTGAGAATTATAAAAGAGAATCTTTAAAGAAGAGTGTAGAGAAAAGATTGAAATTTGACTCTTTTCTTGTAGTCACGAGTTAATAAAGAATGACATGTTGTGTTTGTTATACCGTTAGGAATAAAGGCGCTTGAGGGTTAAAGAACGAAACGTTCGTTAGGGCTTAAGCGTGATACTCAAGGTTAAAGAATGAAATGTAGTTAGGGTTAAAACAAATAATCGGATCCGTTCGGTTCAATCCGGTTTATTGGATCTCAGTTAATCGGTAAATAGAACTGTTTCAGGATGAATCAACTCATCATTTTTCAGTCATTAACAATTACAGATACGTTCCGCTTGGTTTAGTCCGGTTTATTGGACCTCCGTTGTACAAATGCTTAAGACGAATTTATATGTTAAAGGCATAAACACACACCACACACAGAGAGTAAAAGAACACAACACCTAACCGAAATCGAATCAAATTCAAACCGATATTATACAAACCGAAACGCTGAAATGAATACACGAGACATTGCCTAACAGATTAGCCAAAACCAATACAAGAAAATGAACCAACAGAGATTTTGTTACAGAATTGTGGCAAAAATTTTTGAGAGAGAGTCCATAAAAAAAGGGTTCAAAAGCATAATGTTAAGAGTGGTTTTTTACTTAGGATCCTGCTTAGTCTCTCAACCTCTCCTCCCACGTCCTCTGGCTCTACCGCGGTAACCTCCTCTGCCACAGTAAGAAGACGGTCCACCGTTAAACCCATGAGACCCAACTGGCTGTGCTTGACGATTACCTTATGATCCTGACCAACCACCTTGTAGTATTGTCCACATCTGACCACTTGTATCTACCATTACCATCGTTTGATTTGGGATCATACCCATTTGGTTCTGGTGGTACATCATTGGAGCTTGAATTGGGACTAGAAAGGGAAGAAATATGTGAAAAATATCCGTTGGATGCACTGGCTGGTACAATTTTTTTTGAGCCCCAGGGTTTGGTTCTGCACTCTGATTGCTCCTGAAATGCTGATGTATGGTCTGAGGTATCCATGGTTCTGCATAGGGAGAGAGTTGCCTACGATTCATCGTTTGATCACTTGTGGTTCTTGACTGATAACAACAACATCATCATCACAAAGCTCGGGATTTACCGTAGAGTCTTCTTGAAGAGTCTCATTTGCTTCGTCTGATTCTCTGTTTTCTATATTTCCTTCCTCTGCTTGCACTTCCTCTATATTTTCAGCCATGGCCG